GTCAGCCCTTCCACTTTTCTACTACTCAGGAGGCAGTGACGGGAAAACGCAGCCTTTGTTCAACCAGGGACAGATGTACGGAGCACCACCTTCCAGATGTTGTTTATACGTGGGATATATGTAGTACATGCACATGTATACAAACAGACAACCATACATTTTGGTAAATTGGCATATAGAATAAACAAAGACTTACTGTGCCAGGAATTCCTTTGCCCTTGTTGAAGATATCAAAAGGGTGGAGAATGCGTTCATAGTGAGCCTTCAGGAGGGTGCCCAAATTCTTGTTGCTTGGGAAGCCCATGCGCGTGGCAATCTTGTTCCACTTCCTCTCCTTGGTGACACAGTCATTACCACCTGTGCAACGCATAAATCATTTCACAAGTTAAAAAATCAGTAACAAAAGAAAAAAGGGAAAGAAAATTAAAATAAAAACATGTGTATAACATATATAATATAAATATTATACATAATATATATGTATACATGTATATAACATATATGTATAACATACATGTTATATATATATAATATATATGTTATATATATAACATAAATATTATCTATATATTCTTTATATAGATATATAATATATACAATAATATACAATAATATAAAACATATATATATTATATATATTTTATATATTATATATAATATATATATTATATATATTATAAGATATATATATTATATATATATTATTTATATTATATATATATTATTAATATTATATATATATCATTTATATTATATATATATTATTTATATTACATATATATTATTTATATTATATATATATTACAAATATTATATAGATCATATACATAACATGTACAACATTTATGATATCATATATATAAAACACGTGTGTATACATGTGTGTGTATATATATGTATATATATATATATATATATATATATATATATATATATATATATATATATATATATATATATATATGTGTATATGTATGTCTATACATGTGTATGTATGTACATGTATATGTATATGTATATACATGTGAATGTATATGTATATACATGTGAATATATATGTATATATATGTATATATATATGTATATATGTGTATATACATGTGTATACATGTGTGTATAAATGTATATACATATATATAAATGTGTATATATGCATATGTGTATATATAAATGTGAATATATATGCATGTAAATGTGTATATATATATGTATATAAATGTATATAAATATAAACATGTATATACAAACATGTACATACACATATACACATGTATACACATATATACTTGTATACATATACCTATATACATGTATACATATATGTAAACATATACATTTACACATACACATGTATATACATACATATACGTGTGTATATACATACATATACGCGTGTATATACATACATATACGCGTGTATATACATACATATACGCGTGTATATACATACATATACGCGTGTATATACATACATATATGCATGTATATACATACATATACGCATGTATATACATACATATACGCATGTATATACATACATATACGCATGTATATATACATATACACATGTATATACATACATATACGCATGTATATACGTACGTATACACATATATATACATACATATAAGCTTGTATATACATACACATACGCATGTATATACATACACATACGCATGTATATACATACACATACGCATGTATATACATACACATACGCATGTATATACATACACATACGCATGTATATACATACACATACGCATGTATATACATACACATACGCATGTATATACATACACATACGCATGTATATACATACACATACGCATGTATATACATACATATACACATGTATATACATACATATACGCATGTATATGCATACATATACGCATGTATATACATACATATACGCATGTATACACATACATATTCACATGTATATACATATATACAAATATATACATAAATATACACATGTATACATACACATATTCATATATAGATACATATATACACATACATATACATAGATACATATATATACATATATGCACATACATACACACATATCCATATACACATACACATACATTATATATCATAATTTAACCCTTACAGACAGGAAAATACACCCTTACCTTCCATCCACACATGTCGATGGAGTGAATACAAGTCTAATGCTTTCCTCTCTACAACAGGAATCTTCAATGATGAGCCTTGCAGCTCCCAAAACTTAGCAATTTGGTCCAAAAAATTAAGCTTGATTCGCGTATGTGCTTCAAGTTCATTGAGCCTCTGAATGCGAGGAGTGAACTTGAAATTGTCAACATCAACCGCAAATGGTGGCTGCCAATCCTGAAATGGCAAATCAGCTTTTAGTTTAATCCTTCCTAGTGCTATACATGGGAAAATGGGTTTCTATAGCTTAAAGATAAAATATATATATAAATCATGGGACAAATAACACAAAGGCATGCATAATATTGTGAAGACT